GATTGCGTGTCAAATGCGATTGACTGTTCGTCGCAACTCGGAAGTATCAATGGTAAACGCACTTTTGGATTTGTAATTTTGTTGTTTGGATATTTCCTGCCAATTGGTGAATACCAGAGGATTGCATTTGCTTGCGTAAAAGCATTTAGGAGATCTATCCGTTGCATGATCCTCGCACAATTTACCAGAGAGTGAGAAATTTCCGGTTTTACCTAAACGAGCCTTTGACGCATTATTAGATACTTTCTCTCTTTTCATTATCAGATAATTACGAAGCAACACGCCACTGCATTTCGACGAGAGTTCGAGAAATCCTTTCGCGAAAGCTTTATTAAACTCTACACATCGTTTTTCCGTATTATTATTTCCTATGAAGAAATGTACGATTTATGTTTTATAACAATACAAATTTTTATATGTTAAGATAAATAGTAATTAATTATTTATTAATAATATTAATTATTAATAATTCTTATTCTTATTTATAAAATAAATAAAAGATGTGCAAAACGATTTTATTGTAGCTATATAATAAGTATACCATGCATTTTCTTTCGAGTAATTTCCTTTCTAACAGTACTTTTATCTAAATCAATATCGGATGATCCACATTTTCTCTTTGTATCATTGCGAGATCTTAACTTTAAGCAGGGATTTCCTATTTCATCTGTACATTGTATTGCCATTACACGCTTCGAAGCTACATGCTGTAATAAAAGTTCCTTAGAGAAAGTTGCAACAACCGGTTTTAATTTTAATTATTAAATAGGTCGTTAAATTCTTAAGATTAGTAAAGCTATATACAAGTATATTTAATATACCTTAAGCAGAATACACATTCTAATTAAATATATTCTCTAATATAATTAATGTATATACATGTATATATATATTTAAATTGAAATTTGTTTTAAAAATTAACTCAAATTAAGTTAAAATGTTGAATTTTATACTAATTTTTCAAGGAGTTGCTCTTTTCTTCTACATCTTAATGATAAGTTATTCCAAACATCCTTGGTATACATATTTAGTTTTTTTGTAATATTCGATAATTCATTGTACTCGAGTTTAAGCTGTTTAATGAGATAGTTTTCAATCCCTGAAATTGATATATCAGACTCGACCGTATTTTTGTTTAAAAGGTTGCAGGATATGCCTACATCTTTCACCAGAACAGCATCTTGAAAGCCGTCTGTTCTATAATAAATTAATCTTCCTTCAATTCTCCTACTATAATTCTTTCTTTCCTCTTTAATATTATGAACTTCTTAATATAACGAAACAAAAAAAAAAATAATAATAATATGATGAATAAATTAACTTTACTAATATTTGCAAAAATCAAAAGTGCAATTTCAATTACAATTTTTTAATTAAAATCAATAAAAATATGTTCTATCACTATTCTCATGTTATATTTTTATGTTAATAAAAAGATCAAATCAATACCTGTAATAGGAAAATCCATAATAATCTACTTCACTTTCAATATTGCACGGCTTTCGTAAAGGACTATTGCCTTCATAATTTCTCGCGACATTAATCAAATTCGATGGTACTATTGAAGCATGTCGAATAATCCGATTCTTATCTCGTCGCGAAAGGAAATTTCTTGAGTCTCTTGTTCTGGAAATCGTGGAGTATTTTCTCCTCGACGATGTAACACTGATGGGCGCATCGCCCGCTTCCGGGGAGGCACTAATTGCGCACACCTCGACAGACAAGATCTGCTAATTAGTCAACGGAATCGCAAGTTGTATGCGATAGAAAACGCACATATACGATATGGACATACGATACGCACAGATACACTAAGAAAAAAATATAGTCAATCTTCACAACAAAAAAAAAATTAATAAAAAATATCAATGTATGCTCATTTGATCGCATTTTTAAAAACGTACCAATAGATGGCCCACCCTGTAAAAACGTACCAATAGATGGCCCACCCTGTAGTTATAATTAATAGAATTTTAGCGCAAAAGCAAATGTATTCGTGCATTCGTGCATATACGTTGTATAGAGAAGACAATTACTTATTAATGGAGTTATGATTAAGCGACTGGTTAATTAAGGAATCGTCGATTGATGTGTATAATTACCGAGATACGAAACTTTTTACGGCCCATCACCGAGAAGCATAAACAGGTACCATATTTATGTCCCTGTTGCGTATTTATGAATTCATCCATTACATCATACTAAAATCGCAATATTACCAATCAATTTTGAAAACCGAGTTAAGAAGATTAAATATTTGTTTCTTTTTTTTACACCAAAATAGGTTATATTTATTTCTGGAAAGATTGATGGAAAGTGATCTTGATTGCGATCTATGGATAACTTCATTGTTCTCTTAAGGAATCAACACAAAATTTTGTTTTCTGGCATATATAAAGTATTCTGTATATTAAATTATTTTCATGAATTTGTATTTTAAGAGGAATAAAACTAAATTTAATCAAGTTAAATATATCACAAACTAATTAATTTAATAATTAACTTATAAAACTATTTTTAAAAAAACTATTTTTTGCTTTTCTTCTACATATTAAAATGCTACAAATTAAAATCCGAATATAAGTATATTAATGATAAGAAAATAATCTCTTGAACCTAACAATATAAATTTTTTATAAACAGTAAAATTAAATTTGAAATAAAAAAATTATATTTACAATCCCTTTGAATTTCTAAAAATTATGCTCTGTTAATTTCACGATAAATGCGCCACTGAATTAATTTTAAATATGAAATTCTACGCCACTGGCGGTTTATTTTCTCCAGTCGGCAATATTGCGACTTGTACGACGAAGGTGATGGCGGCGCTACCAGATCAACTTCATTTTTGAAGTTTTAGGTCCAAGACATTAAAATTATTCGATAATATTAACTAATTAGTAAAATATAAAAATTAACGACATAAAAATAGATAATATCAAAATAGAATTTTTATATAAAATATATAATTATATTAATTACATTTTTTTTGCACATTATAAAACAAGATTCGTTTTTTGGAAAATATTTTTGAGAAATTTTATTATTGTTTTCAAATGACACTTTCGACAATAGTCCTTTTTAAGATCTGTTCTCCAAAATATCGCTTTTTTACAATTTTTGACAATTCTCGATATAATAAATAGTAATAATAACAAAGAAAATAAAATTGGTATACGATTCAATTTTTAATATGACAAACTCTCTCGACATTTCTTTTTTTCATAAATTATTATCTTGTTGAAACATCTTTATACTATAGAATTCAAGAACCCGTAATCCATGGGGCCCATACTGATATACGTCACTGTACCGATTTACCGAGTACGGTCGAGGAACAGGTCGCAACGTCGCGGCCCCACAGTCGCGTCGGCGCTCCGTTCGCCAGCCGTCGTCAAACTTGTTCTTCAGTCGATCCCCTGATGTGCCTTCGTTATTTTACTTGATGATGTGCAAATTATAGTGCAAAATTTGTTATTTACGAAGGAGTCACGAGTGTCCACATCTCCAGTGGATTCTTTGAAGAATTATATTCGCTTTGACGGTTAAGGGATCCTTAGCGGTCTCCGGGACCGCTATGTCTTTACACACCACGGTGGGCCCAAGCCCGACTTAACAAGACTTGTAAAGAAGATAGACTACCAACCGATTTGTAAGCAGTATCTCAACAAATTAATTGATCTTTGATGAATATATATTCGATATTAATATCGAAATAATAATAATTGGTTAAAATAATATATATTAATTGGACTGATTAATATAATAGTAGAAAATATTAGAAAAAATTTTAATAACTAAATTAAATAATAAATTACTATTATAGAGAAGCGAGAGAACGTAGCGACTACCGTTGATTCGCCAAAGGACCTTGGAAGAATTATGTATAATGTAAGCGCGATGTCGGAAATTCCAGTGACATTTTCACATTTACTTTTGAGTTAGCTCGTATGTTTGAAAGATCTGATCGGAATAAAAATGAGAGAATGTGCACCACATAGGTGCATAGAAGGTGTAAGTTTGTCCAAAAACACAAAAATTAAAAAGTAAAAAAAAATGCGCAAAGAGAGAGATTTATGTGGTTAACGAAAAGGATGTTAATAGTGATAAATGCGGCGTAACAATAACGCACGCGGTACGTAAGGATCACTGCCTTTATCAGTAATTCTCAGTATTATCTTGAAACTGGACGATTATTTCTATGCGTTTGCTAAAGATATCGACTTTTACACCAAATTAGACCTCCTCTTCAAAGTACCATATTTGGATCTGATAGTCGATAAATAGATAGTAATTTCTTCTAATGAATAAAGATTAGACAGATGATTGTGTTAAAATCGATGAAGTGCGCGTATCTTGTAAATATCGAGTGATCTGTGAAAACCGAGACGACTCGAGTGAGATCGGAGTGCGAATTGGATAAAACGTGTCGAATGGAGTGACGCCAGGATTTCTCGCAGATCATCGTCATCGTGTCTCATCGATGTAGCGCGATGTCGGCTTGGTGGCCTGTCGTGGCGGCGACGCTGTGCTTCTGGATATCCGCTGGTGAGTTTAATGCGTGATTATGCCAGTTGACCCCGATCGGAATTTATTTATATTATAATATCCCATCCCCCTTGAATATACATCAGAGAAAAAAAGAAGCCTTTTTTATAGTAGTGATGACTATACAAGTTTTATATGTAGAATTAATACATACACATAATGGTTGAATAAATTATTTTAGTTATTCCAACTAAAGTTAAATTAGTTATTAGTTCTTCTTGTAACCACACACATTCAATTTTAGTTGCAATAAAACAATATAGAAAAGTTTATTCAACTATATACATTAATTCTACATATAAAATTTGCAGTTGTCACTTATATAGTTGCCATCACTATAAAAAATGCTTATTGTTTTCTCTGAGTGTAGATTTAAAATAATAATCTAAGCTTTATGACGTTAATTAATTAATATAATAATAAATAAAGAATTAATTTTTATATAAAAAAAGTGTTAGTTCTAGAATACGCAGTAAATATCTATAAATATCTATAAAATTAATCTGAACCCGAAAGATATTGATTTCTATAGAAAAAAATTGCGAAATTAAGGATTTAAAGATCCGAGAATTTATCAATATTTTATAAAACGTATGTTGTTAGAAGTATCTCCTTTCTACGTAAACAAAAAACAATCAATAGCATTTGTGGATCAATAATTTCTATAAGCAATTTATTCTTACTAAAGAATTAATGAGTATTTTGGAGTAAAAATAAAATTCTAGCAATAATTCCATAAGAAATAATTAAAAAATTGATTTTGTATTTTTTTGCTGATTAATTTTGTATTTTTTTTTTTAATAATTGTTAACATCTATATATGCGTTAAGTTCTCTTGGAAAGATATATCTGATATGAGTTATAAATATACAATATATGTATATACGCTTTCTAATATATATGTAGAAAGCCGCATGTATTCGGATTTACATGGATGTTAGAGCGATCGTTACTTTAATATCTAATAAACGTAAAATATCGTTACTCTGATATCTAAATAACCGATGAATTTTTTTATTTATTTTATAATTTTGCTTTTAGTGTAAAACAGTAAGATGCAAAATAATGACGTTCAATGTAGTAAATCCTGCTTACGCCAACGATTCCTTTCTCTCCAGACCAACTATGCTATTATAAGTTGCCTTGCTATGTAACAAGATATGTTACCATTTGTGCAACAATAATCTCATCATGTTATTTTCGCACAATAATTCGTTTCTTTTCTAAATTTGTAAGAAATCTTAGGTAATTGTTAAAAGAATTTGGAATATTCTTTAAATATAAACTATATATTCACGATAAAATAATAATTTTAATAGCCTAACCAATTTTTAACAAATTATAAAAATAATTATCTTCATTCTTATAATAATGTTTTCTTAAAATTAATTTTTCTATACTTATACATCTTAAATTGCGATTATAAACGTATAAGAATATAGTTTTATATCATAAAATATAAAAATACATAAATAATTGCAAATTGTTAACAATATACGTGAATATATTGATAATAAACATTAAAGTGTTTAAGTTAAATGTTTTATACACAGTTCACATAGATAATATCAAAATTATAAAAATCTAAAAATATTCAGTAAGTATATAGCTCAAAAAACAATACAATATTGCTAATATACTGTTCAAATCACAACGTCACTGTTCATGTCACTAACCATAATATCATTCTCATTGTCGAGCAATCGGAGGGGATTTAGCGCTAGTAGAAAGTTCATAATCTCAAGAAAGTCTTGCAAAGGTCTTTAAAGTCGGCTTTTGTCAGGTTCCTCTTTCTCAGCTCATATAATTGCCGAGGAAAGCCGGAGAGCAACTGATCGCGCGCGCGGTAACAGTTGCGACACGATTACGAGAATGTGTATTCGAGAGCGGCCGAAGAACGCAACAAGAGCAGAAGGTTGGTAGATGTTTTGTATCTCTACGAACATGCAGTCGTTGAAATCATTAAAGATTTTAATTAATCGAGTACGCAAATGTTGCAAGTATCCCAATTATAACTTAATCCCTGGCAATAAATTATACACGACAAGAGATGGATTGTTGTTTCAACTTCGTATAAAAAAATAACATGAAACTTGAACATCTCTCGAAATTATCCCATAATTGAAGTAAAATCTTATTGTGACATAAGTAATTAGTTTATTTATTCTTACATTAAAGTGATCATGATAAATATATTTTCAATTTGAAATTATAATATTTTTCTGTGAGGAATGCATTTCGAAATTTTTATTGTTTTCAAAGAATTTACAACATTTATATAAAACATATGTTTATTAATAATATGATATTTTATTCTATTGCTGAGAATTAGCGACAATATAAATAATCTGAAATAAATGAAATCCTAACAAGACACGCATTCTTCTTATGCGTGTATATCACACCTGACATGATTAATCCTTCGAGGAGTAATTAACCACGGCCAGGAAACATGCGGTTTTGCGAATAATTACAGCTGCTTCGAGGCGAGCTCTTCCTTCACACCATCTTATTTATGATTCAACTATTTTTCTTAAAATTTAATATCTTACTAAATTAATAACTTTTTTATATGTAAGCTGTCTAAGCATTTTTTTCTTTTGAGTTTAATTTTATATCTTTATGTTTTATCTTAATTTGTATTTTATGTTATTTAATTTATTAAATTTTCATCCTTATGTTATAATTCAAAATATGTTTATATGTCTATATATATTATAACTTTTTTTAAAATTTAAACGTTTGTAACAT